TATGCTAATTAGCTAGAGTCAGGAGCAGAAGGCAGGGCTGAGAAGGCAAATTAAGTCAGTTGGTAAAGGCTTTGAAAGTCATGCGAAGAAGCTTAGACTACTTCACCTAGTGAGCTGAGGTAGTATTTCTCCAAACTGCAATCAAGAATCAGGAACTCAAATTGCTGAGCCATAACTAGTATTTTTTTTTTTTTTTTTTAGTTAGGTAGAATAGAAAGAAAATGTTAGCACACACCACACATAATTGTGAAACTTTTGTTTTAGTTATGTATCTGTGGACACACATTCATTCAAGGTTTTTATATAAAAGGCTTATAATAAAAGGCATTTCTTACTAAAAATTGTAGTTAAAAGACAGTTTGAAAGCTACTGGTCATAGGGAAGTATAGAAGGCATATGACTAGGGAGAGAAATGACACTAATGAAAAATCTGCCATTAACTTCCGACAATAGCAATTCTGAACCACTTAGAGGCAACTCACCCTTCAAGGAGTTTCCATTTCCTCTGGCTGATGTGTTCCCATTATCTTTTCTGTGCTACATGAAGGGCTATCTTTGCAAATGGCTTCCTGAAGACATCAAAGATGAGTACTAAGGTACAAGCTACTTAGAAATAAACTGGGAGTCTGTTTTTCCTTTGATATTTTCTTCAATTTTTTTTGAGGGGGGGTATTCCTTAAAAGGAAGAAGGAGGAAATGAACTATGTATACTGTATTACTAAGCATCTCACAAGGATTTCAAAGTACTAAGAAACTGTTTATTTTTTAAAAGATGTGGTCAGGTGCAGGGGCTCATGCCTATAATCCCAGTGCTTTGGGAGGCTATTTTTCAATAGACCAAGAGTTTGAGATCAACCTGGGCAACATACTGAGACCCCTATCTCTACAAAAAATAAGAAAGTAAAAATTAGCTGGGCATGGTGGCCCACTACTCCAGCTACTCGGGAGGTTGAGGCAGGAAGACTACTTGAGCCCAGGAGTTCAAGACCAACCTGGGTAACATAGTGAGATCCCATCTCTACAAAAAGTTTTAAAAAATTAGCTGGGTATGGTGGTGCACGGCTGTAGTCTAGCCACTCGGGAGGCTGGCCTAAGTCCAGGAGTTTGCAGTGGCAGTGAGCTGTGATCAAACCACTGCACTCAAGGCTGGGCAATAAAGTGAGAACTTATCTCAAACAAAACAAAACAAACAGTAAAAAAAAATAAAATATTTAATTAAATTTTTTTATTTTAAGATAATTGTAGATTCATGTGTAGTTGTAAGAAACAACACAGAGATCACGTACTCTCTACCCAGTTTCCCACACAGTAATATCTTGAATAGTTCTACTACAACTTCACAACGGGGAAACTAACAATGACAACAATCCATTGGGTTTCAGATTTCATCAGTTGAGTACACACTGATTTGTGTGTTCCTATCTAATTAGTTCTATGCAATTTTATTCTGTGTGTAGATTTGTGTAATCACTACCATAGTCAAGAAACGAAATTCCTTGTACTACCCTTTACAAAGTATTTTACTTTATAAATCCAAATGCTCTATTACCACAGAAGTCTTAGAAGTTCTTCACCCAGATCTAAGCCCCTCAACTGAAGACTCCAGTTAAGCTCACTACCCATATTGTAAGAAACAAACCTGGGTGACATAAATTTATTCTTAGCATTCATATCACATAAATGATAAACATAACTATGTAGAAAAACGCAAAAGTATATATAAAGTAACAAAAAAGTACAAAAAAACCTGTAGAAGTATTATGATCACAAATACTTGGGGAAGTGTAGAGGGATAATTTAGAAGAGGATACGGTGACCATGACACTGTCTGAACACTTAGGCATTCATCTTCCTTCAGCATTTCAAAGAAGTTATCAGAGCTGAGTAATATAACCTGATTTTGAGTCTTATAAAAATGTAATGCAAAGTAATTCTGGCAGATGCACATATTTTAAAGACTTCGCTGAACAGGTTGCTGAGGGAAAAAAAGAAGAAAAGATTACCTGTCAAATAAGAGAAGAGCATTTAACCTCAAAGAGTGGGTGGAATTCCAATGCACTGAGCAATTTTATAAATTGGGCACTTCAGCTTTTAGAGAAGCACAATGCTTCTCATAATTTCTAAATTGAGTTACCTGTCCATCCATGAAAAAAGTTTGACTATGTGCCTTTTTCTTAGAGCTGGTTAAAGTGATAGACAGCTGTCCCAGCCTATCCCACACAGTCACCCACCAGTGAAAGATGTGCATAAAGACCAGAACACAGGTATGGACCCAAAGGAAGTCTGCAGTTTGACACCACATGAAGCCAAGCCACCCTTAAAGGGCCTAACATGCATAAGGCACCACAAGCAGACACAGTTTGTACTCTGAGGAAACGCACAGGCTCAAGACAAGGCACAGATAGGCAGTTTTTCTTTTAAGAAGTGCACAGCCGGGCTCGGTGGCTCAGCCTGTAAACCTGCGCTTTGGGAGGCCCAGGTGAGTGGATTTCCTGAGCACGCGGGTTTGAGACCCGCCTGGGCAACTTGGCAAGATCTCATCTCTACAATAAATCAAAAAATTAGCCGGACGTGGTAGCGCGCCTGTAGTTCCAGCTACTTGGAAGGCTGAGGCGGAAGGATCGCCGTAGCCCAGCAGGTCGAGGCTGCGGTGGCCGGGAGCAGCCACTGCACTCCAGTCTGGGCAACAGAGTGAGACTCCAACTCAAAAAAAAAAAAAGAAATGCAGTCTCGACAAAGAAATCTACAAAGGTTTCTAATAGCATTTACTCCAAACCTTGATAATAGTATCAGCAAAAATCCTATGGGAACTCATGTGAGGTAGCCAGGTCCTCCAAACACAGATCTGACCCTAACCCTGTTCCTCTCTTCCAGGGCCTTACTACATCTGCACTTGCCTCTTCACTGAATTTTCAACTTATCTCTGACTATTGAACCTTATCTTCAACATGCAAACACATTCAAGCCTCTTCTGCTCTCAACTCTCTCAAAAACCACCCTGCCTTGATGCTGTGTCTTTCTTAGAGTTGCCAAATTTAGCAAATAAAAGTAAAGAACGCTTACTTAAACCAAACTTCTTTCAGATAAACAATGGATTTATTTATTTATTTATTTTTTATTAGTTTAAGTATGTCTTAAGCTGGCACATTGGCTCATGACTAATCCCAGCACTTTGGGAGGCTGAGGTGGGAGAATCCTTGAGCACAAGAGTTCAAGGCTACAGTGAGCTATGATCACGTCACTGCACTCCAGCCTGGGCTACAAAGCATAATCCTGTTTCTAAAAACAAACAGCAGGGCGCAGTGGCTCATGTCTGTAATCCAGCACTTTAGGAGGCCGAGGCAAGAGGAGAGCCCAGGGGTTCAAGACCAGCCTGGGCAACTTGGCAAGATATTATCTCTACAATAAATCAAAAAAATTTACCTGAATGTGGTAGGGTACCCCTGTAGCTCCCGCTACTTGGAAGGCTGAGGCAGGACTGCCTGAGCCCAGTAGGTCAAGACTGCAGTGGCTGTGAGCATTCCACTGCACTCCAGCCTGGGCAACAGAGTGAGGCTCTTACTCAAAAAATAAAAGTAAAATAAAAACAAACAACAACAAAAATTCCATCTGCAATAGCATAAAAAAGGATAAAATACTTAGAAATAAATTTAGCTAGGAGGGTTTAAGACTTACACAATGAAAACCACAAAATGTTGCCGAAGAAACTAGAGATCTAAATAAATGGAAAGATATCCATGTTCATGGATTAGAAGAGTTATTATTGTTAAGATGGTACTACTTCCCAAATCAAACTAGATACAATACACTCCCTATCAAAATCCTAATGACTTTTCTTGCAGAAATGTACAAGCTAAATCTAAAATTCATATGGAATTGCAAGGACCTCAAACAGCCAAAACAATCTTGAAAAAATAACAAAGCTGGAGGACGCATACTTCCCAATTTTAAAACTTACTACATAGCTATGATAACCCAAAGAGTGTGATACTGGCGCAAGGATAGATATATTGATCAATGGAACCCAGAAATAAACCCCCACATCTGTGGTCAATTGATTTGACATGGGTGCCAAGACCACTCAATGAGGAAAGAATATTCTATTCAACAAATGATGCTGGGACAACTAGACGTCTACACTGAAAAGAATAAAGTTGGGCTCTTCCCTCGTGCCATATACAAAAATGAACTCAATGGGGAACAAAGACCTAAATATAAGAGCTACATCTATTAAACTCTTAGGAGAAAACACAGGGGTAAATCCTCATGCCCTTTGATTTGGCAACAGTTCTTAGATATGACATGAAAAGCCTAAGCAACAAAAGAAAAAATAAATAAATTGGACTTCATCAAAATTAAAAACAGAAAGTGAAAAGACATTCCACAGAAAGGGTGAAACTATTTGCAAATCATACATAGTCATCTCTTACTTACACATATACACTCTCCTTATGTTTGTGGCTACTAATTCAACCAAACCTGAAGCCCACTGGACTTCCTAATATGACAGGTAACACCTCTATTTCTCATCTTAGCCACTTGCCATGAAGAACATTCTGCCCAATCATCATACTTGGGGATCACTGGCCCAACAGGTACTTACATAATTCTATTCTTCTAGGTCCAATTTTAAGAAGAAAATGGGGGGGGGGGGTGGTAGCTTATGCAAGAGAAGTAGAAATGTGGAAGAGAGGGCTATTAACTTCACTAATTCTGAAATGTCACTTTAAAGCAGAAGAACCAGAAACTAAGGACAACCAACTTCATCTAAACAAGACTGAGGACCTTAAATTTAAAGGGTGTGAAGAAAAGATGCATGGGGAAAATCCCTGAAATGTAAGTGATGTTGTAAAAGATTCTTGTTTTAAAATAAGATACACAAAAACTACTTTTTAAAAATTAGCTTTAGACAATGTCTGACTACACTTTCATTCTAAAAACTCAAAATAACTGTGAAATAAGGCTAGTCAACAGAGAAAGAAAAATGTAGTAGAACTTACTTGACCATGGGACATTTTGAGATATTTATTATTCACTAAAAGTGGTATGTACCAATTAGCAGCAATCTGTACAATCCAATCAGATTACAATTAACAGTAACATACACTAGCTCAATCAGTCACAGACAAGAGCACAACTAAGTCTTCTCAACAGGTGATTTTATTACCAAACTTACATTCTGGCTTTTATAATCATTTCACAACACCTTGTACAGTGTACACCCACAGCTTTTGAGTAGAAATGCCCTTAAAGGCATGTTAGAGAGCAGAGGTGAATACTTTCTCATGAAGAAATGCCAGCTTTTCTAAGCGAGTCCGTTTCAGTAGTGGAAGCCATTCCCAGTAGGATAACTCTACCACACGGTAGCCAAGCCGAACCAGCTGCCGCCTCTTCATATTGTGCAGTCCAAGCAGATCCCTGGAACCATAGCAATATTGGTTCCTGTTTGTAAACTGAATTGCCAGCTTCACTTCTGGGGCCTGCACATGGGCTGGGGAGCACAGGCCGTCTATCTCTGTGGCCTCTGACTTCTCGGCCACAGTGCAGAGGGAGTCCCCCAAGGGTACGGTTGCCTTATTGTCTACCTCCATGGACTGTTGCCCAGTCTCTGACTCAACTTCCCTCTGAAAATTTCTTCTTGCTCTCCCTTTTAGTAACTGATTCATCAAATCATCTGTAAGGCTGACTCCTACATTCTTAAGCCTTAATTTGGCTACATTTTCAGCTGGTCTGGCTTCTTTATTAAATGGTAATGGTTTCATGTTAACATCAAGCTGGATCTCTAAGTCAGAAGATCGGGTATGAGGCAAAATCATATGGTGCTTGATGTACTGGGGCCCACCCAACATGGTCTCAAGTAAAAAGAGAGTTTCTAGAAATTCAGGCTTTGAGTTCATATCCTTCCTTACTAAATTCCACAGCATTTCAGATCCCTCTTGCTTAAGGTGAGAACTAAGACGATTGCCTCTGTAATCTGGACACTCAATGCCAACTGAACCATCAAGAGTATACAGTTCCTTAGTGAGATCAAATGTACTTCTCTCCTGAGCTAACCTGACAAACCCTGGACTCAGAGCAAAATCGATGAACTCTATTGGAAAGTACTCAGAAAATGCCAGGCCCAGCAGGCAGGTGAGCAGGTGTTCTGGGTACTGGTTAAATTCAGGCAACTTTCTGTGAATCTCATTTATCAGGCTGGAATAAAATTCTTCAGCATTGGGTGGTTTATAATTCAGGGCTCCAAATGACCACAGAATCTTGGCAACATCTTTACTTCGACAGTGTGCCACCCTAGGAGGTAAAGAGGAAGCAACAGCATTCATCACATCTTCATCCAGGATGCGTAAAGCCGAACAGGCAAGAGTCAGGTGCATGACACCCTGAACTCCCAGAGAAGGAATTCGCTGAGGAGCAATCTCTCCAAACCGCTTCATGAAATTTATGTGATCCACATGAGTGAAACGGAACATTTTAAGAATATTCACTAAGGCGTGACTACTCAGATGCTGCATGTCAGCACAAGCCAAGTCTCCAATTTTCCGCATGACAAATTCAGAGAGACTACTACTTGATTTAAAGAACCCCAAACAGATTGTACCAACCTCCTCTAAATTGATCAAATCTATATATTTAAGGATCAATGATTCCAGTTTTTGCATTAGGTCCTGGGGTACCTGACGATTTTCACCTATAATATAAATTAAGTGAATCAACTGGGACAAGGATAGCTCTTTCCAATGCAAATTAAGATAACTAAAAAAAATTTTTAAAAACCGAGGTACCCTACGGCCTAAGTACCGCCACATATCAGCCACCAAGAGAAGCTGATCCACACTCATCTCCCATAGCTGACGGCAAAATCTGCTTTCATATACATCTAGCATTGAATGGTAGTGAGGGATTCCTAAACTGACAAAAGCTTTCAAAATGTTGATCAGATTGGGGGTATCAAAGAGCTGTATGTTTTTCACACCCAGCTGGCAGAGTAAAGCAAAGCTGGCATTGGAGAGCAAAACAGAACGCTGTTCTGCAGGCAAAAAGCTCAGCTTACAGAAATAATCAGCAATGATTTGAGGCTGGAGATTCTTTTGATAAACTGTGACTTTGTGCAAAATGAGTTCACCTTCTGAAACAGACAGGGACTGATAAGTCTCAGATCTTCTATAGCTATGAAGCTGGTACTCTGGTCTTAGCTGTAGGAAAACTCGAGGGCCTTCAAGGGAATCAAAAACTTCTATATCCTCTTCATCAACTCTCACGGCCCCGAATGAGCCTGGCTGCCACGTGCTGGCCTTAGAGGTAGAAGCCTTGCTGAATTCCAAAGCCAGGAGGGCACTGTTGGTTGTGACGATGCTCCGAGAAGAGGAGGTGCTACCAATGTTCTTAACTTTTTTGGCAGGATCGCAGGGGCTACCATGTTGTGGAGGGTCCTGTTCCCCATGCTGTGTGCTGCTTCTCACATTCCAATATGCCACATTTTGGGTTGCATTGAAGGCAAAAGGACTGTAAAATGCTCGATATCCTAAAGATTTTAACAACTTGAGAGTGGCTGCCATTCTGGTGTCAGTACGGATCTTTCTGGCAGTCAGAACACAGGTTTGACCAGGCAATTTCTTGTTTATATGGTGCTTGATTAGAGCTGGACGGGGAGGTGTTCCACAGAAACTGCCTGGAAATCTTCGGCATATCACAAGAGCCATGGGTCACAAATGACTGGGCCAGAATTGGTGCCAGATACTGAAAAAAGGGTAGATGAAGAATGAGTGGCTTCCACCTGTCACAATGTCAAAATGTACACATTATAAGAAACAGATTAAAGCTACCCTGCTGTGATTCAAGTAAGTTCAATGCCAGTGAATGCCCAAACCACAAGAGAGAATATATCAGGGATAAATTCTGCATGCCTTGCATAAAGGCACGGGAAAATCCCCAAACCAGGTACCGCTGCAAAGTTCCTGGACCACTGCTCAACACAGACTTCTTTCACTGGAGAAGGGAATCGGTGACAGATACAAAACAGAAGGTTGCTCTGCTAACATTCATCAGGAAGGAGGAAGGCAGATTTCTAAAAAGAAGGCTGCAAACAAAAGTAAGCAACTCATTCTAGCTCTCTGAGATGAACATGTAAAGGTCCCACTTGGAGAATAAGAAAATTTGTAAAAGCTGCCATGCTAACAGCACAAAGTGAAGTGGGATTTGGTATAAGGTTTAATTAATTATACCCAGAATAACCCTCCCTGTTCTTAAAGTACAAAACTTTTCATCACAGAATTTTGTTATTCTCATGTTGTTCTTATACTTTTTAGAAGATGTCTATTCTCTTCTCCAGGAAGCTTAAAATAGAATTTGAATCACTACTGCAGAGTAGTCACAGAGTAGTCGTGCAATTGGGACATATATTCAAAAACTCATTTTGGTGGAGGCGAGCAGAAAGCTAAGGGTCTGCTCACTGTTAATTCATGGGTGGGAAGCAAAGAGCATCTCCAAGTGTGGCTCAGGGTTCAGGGAACACCAATTCATGCAACTGCCAGGCTGAAAGTCAGAGAAGCAGCAGAGTTTTCCTCTGGAGGAGGCAGATTAACAATGCTTACAATGAGTCAGGTGTTGATTACTTCCTTACTCTGCCTGTAAGCAGTACAATTCCCATTTTTCTCCCGTGGTAGAAACCATGAGAGGCTATGAAATTGACTCTGCTCTACCCTTGCTTTCCTTAATGCTTACTCTCTTTCTTTCCACTTAAGTGTCAAAGTCAGACAAACAAGACCCAAAGAGACCTGAAGAGCCAGACAAGGTTACTACAGAAAATTCTACAATGGTTCTAAGGTACCAGAGTGACATTCTGAAATGCTGACCCAACTCTGCAGTCAGTCCCTTGCTTCCAGAGCCTACAGTATAAGAACCAGAGGACCAGAAGGTAGGTCAGTGGTTTTGCCCTGCTATTGCCCAGCTACACAGGATTCTCTGGGTGGCAGGAACATATGTTCTAATTTCTTTTTGAACGAGAGCAGAACACTTTTACACTAAATCTTTATACACTTGGTTCTTTACTGTGACCTGTGAACCATTCTACCCATCAAGTTTCAATCTGTGGGTAAACTATGTCCCCAGGCCCAAATCTAGCCTATAACTTGTTTCTGTAAGTAAAGTTTTATTGGAATACAGCCAGGCCATTTGTTACATACTGCCTGTGTCTGCTTTCTCACTACAAGAGTAGAACTGGGTGACTGTGGCAGACTGTATGGCCTGCAAAGCATAAAACATCTACTGCCTGGCCCATTACACATAGTTTGCGGATCCCTGCTATAGACCATAGTTTATTTCTATGAATGCAGATGGCCAGCTTTTTAAAGATTAGGAAAACTGTACTGGAATATTTCTTATTTAATATTTAGATGATAATTGAAGATTTATATGCCTCAATATAGTCAGTAGGAATCTCAATTAATATTGCAGCACAGGCAAGGTGGGAACAAAAGAGAGAGCAGGTAACAGAACTCTCCAGTTGACAGGATAGGGCTTTAAGGAAGACCTGCTTTGGGACTTGGAATCTAAATTTAGTCCAACATAATATGCAACTAAAGTCATAAACTATTCAAATCTGTAGTCTTTACCTCATCTAAGAAACTAGATCCTAAGAAACAGCTTTTAAAAGCCCCATTTTTTTTTTTTTTTTTTTTACAAAATAGCTGTACTATACTAAAACAAAAAACTGAAAACAACCCAAATGTCCATCCAGTAGGAGGAGGATGGCTAGTAGGAGGATAAGTGTGTGACAGGCATCAACAATGGAAAACTGCACACAAATTCTCAGTGACACAAAGAGTATATACACAAGTGCTATCACCCAAAACAAACTTATATAAAAGGAAACATAGCTTATTTCTGAGAAAACTTTCTGTTATATCTTTGTTAAATTAACTTTCCCCCATTTTAACTAGGGTTACAACTGTACAGAAGAGTATATGGATCAACAAATACCTCTATAAATGATATAATTTTAAAAGCATATTGAATAAGTAAAATTACTTCAATTAATTCTACCTAAGAGTACTTAATGAAATTACTGTATCTGGTCTGGAAATAAACAAAAGAATCATTTCTTTCTTTTCTTTTCTTTTTTTTTTTTAAATTAAGTCCTTCCATTCTAGGAAGAACCATTTTCTAGAACATCAATGTTTGGTGTAGATCTAATGTTCTGAATTACGTGATTCTTCTTGATTAAAAACAAAAACAAAAACAAAAACAGGCAAGTTCCAAGATGGACATAACAAGAGCCATGATTATCTTAGGGCCTCCTCCATGGCCTAAACTTGGAGCTTTGTAACAGTTTCTTTCTTTAAAATTTTTTATCAAGAGATGGGGGTCTTACACTATCACCCAGGCTGGAGCATGTAATCATAGCTCACTGCAGCCTCAAAATCCTGGTTTCTAATAGTCCTCCCACCTCAGCCTCCCGACTAGCAGGGACTACAGGCACATGCCACCACATCTGGCTAATTTGTGGTTGTTCTTTTTTTTAAAATTTTCTGTAGAGATGGAGTCTCATATATTGCCCAGGCTGGGCTCAAACTCCTGGACTAAAGCAATCCTCCCACCTCAGTCTCTCAAAGTGCTGGGATTACAACCATGAGCTACCATGCATAGCTGTAAGAGCTGCTTTTATCTGCATGAGTTCCAATTCTTATAAGCTTTCTGTAAGGTAGGTTTATTATCCCCATAATAGTGATGAGAAAGAGACTTCACAAGACTAAGAAAACTGACGAAGGTTGCACAGCCAAGGGATTGAGTGGGGCTTGACATCAAAGGTTGTGTGACTCCCAAACCCACGTTACTGTCAAGAAACACAGGTTTGGAGGCAGTGTGGGAGCCCTGAATAATCTATGGTCTTCTAGGGTTTCTAGGTACCAAGGAGCTGGAGGGTTAGAACTGAGTAAGCTCAAAAGCCTTTCCCACCACTAACAGTCTAGGATTCTAGCTATCACTACGGTGTATGCTACAGATTGAATATCCCTTATCCATAATGCTTGAGACCAGAAGAGTTACAGATTTTGAATTTTTCCAGATTTTGGAATAACTGCATTATACTTACCAATAAAGCATCCCTAATCCAAAAATCCAACATCCAAACTATGCCAATAAGCATTTTCTTTAAGTATCATGTTTGTGCTCAGAAAGTTTCTGATTTTGGAGCATTTCAGATTTTGGAGTTTCAGATTTGGGACATTCGACCTACTTACTAAAAGAACAAAGAAAAGACTTCAAAGACTGAAATCTACATGAAGTAAGGAAATTCCTGGATAAAGATGAAGGAAGATCCCAGGACAAGAGTTGAGTGGACATAAAGAGTAACAACCAGTTCATGTTGGAAAAGATGGATAGTACAATCTGGGGGCAAACAAGAAATAGATGTACAGAAAACCAAGCCAGTACAACAAAAATCATTAACTCCAGGCAAGATAAAAAAAGCTGTACAAGATGGAAAATGTTATCATATTAAACTCCCTGCTCAGCTGTGAATACTATTTACACAAACCTTGAGTGTTATCCTAACCAAAAATTATGAGCAAACTACATTGGGAGGGTGAAGGGAGGGGATAAAGGGGTAGAAGGAGGCTGGGTAATGATACAAGCAACCTAGAACTTCTAAGTCTGTAATAAAAAAGTATAATATAATAATAAAGAATATCTATAAAACTTAGAAATCAAGAAATAGCAACACAAATGTATTTAGAAATATACTGATAAACGCCAAAAGAAACAGATAGTTGAAGTGCTTCTGGGGAATAAAAATGGAGGCAGAAAAGGAAGGAAACTAATATTTAGTGTGATAAGTTCTATTGAACTGTTTGTTTAAACCATGTAAATGTATAACTTTGACAAAAATTAAATTTACAAAATGCATGTACTAATAGGAAATTAAGGTATTGTTCAAGAACACAATGAATGGAGAAAGTAACCTTAATATACAAGGAAAATGCTGAAAAATTATTTTTAGTACAAGCACTTCCTTTGTCTATAGAACTTCTAGAGAGAAGTTCAGTAAAAAATGATGACAAAATAAGAAATCTTACAGGCATGAAGAGCCAAATGGCAAACAGTGGTTATTTGCTTTTTTCACCATGCAATTTTTTTTTTTTTTTGAGTTGGAGTCTCACTCTGTCGCCCAGACTCCAGTGCAGTGGCCACTCCCGGCCACCGCAGCCCCGACCTGCTGGGCTCTGGCAATCCTTCTGCCTCAGTCTTCCAAGTAGTTGGAACTACAGGCATGCACATGCAATTTTTATAGTAACTCTATAGACACCATATTTACATATACAGGTCTGAAATATAACCACTTCAGAAATTGGATCTTGCGTACTGTGGAGAAGAAAACAAAAATAAGGAAGATACAGAAGCAGCAAAGTAGAATGGCAGGGAAAAAAGGCACTGCAAACAAGAGGAAGTCGCAATGTATCGACCTGACAGTGAAACACACCTCTGGGTTAGTTTCTCCTTACTCAAGAACTCCCAGATAATCAATAAGAAAACTAAAAAGAGAAAATTTAGTTCTTTTTCTGAGATGCTCAGTAAGTTAACTCCTGACTCCTTCACTAAGGGTTCAAAGGCATCTGGTATTATTTCACAAAGCTCCTTTCCCAGTTTAAGTGCCCCAAGTATACCCGTCCTCCCCATCTCCTCCCTTGTTAGGGCTCTGAATGAACCAGTGTGGAACCCTAGAGATCCCTGGACCCTGGAGTTCCAAAAGGCACTGTCCAAACCATCCTGAATGAGATACAATTTCACAGGAGAAAGGAATCTTACCTTTCTCCCTTCCAACTATAGGTCTGGGCCAGACCGAATTGCTTCATTTTAAACTACAGTCCAGAAGTTAAAGGAGGGATGCCAGGCAGAGGAAGGCAGTCATGCTAACTGTAGATTAAGTATATGACACCCTCAGCATACACAATTTACCAGTTACCAGATCTCATTCCTGAATTCTAATCCTTTTCCTAAAAAGGTTTCATCTTCCTATGTCCCAATAAAATTGCCACAAATAAATGGATACTCCAAACCTCATCCTGTCTTAGCAAATAATTTGTTGAGCAACCTTGTGAATTAAAAAAGCGAAAAAACTAACTTTCTCTAGGTGCTGAGACTCTACAAAGCTTTAAAGACCCTAGTGAGGGCGTAAAGACTGACAGTAAGGACACTTAGCTGTTAATGAGGATGTTAACTGGGCTAGATTCTTCTCTTCTGTGCTTCTGTTTCTACATGGGAGCAGAGCCTACAGGAAAAGGTCTACCAGTATTATGAAGGTAAAGCACTAGCACAAAGGTGTTTAGGTCAAGATTATTATCCCCCAAAGATCTAAGCCAAACGAAAATTAAGTCTAGCAACCCATCCCCTCCTCTTTGTTCTAGTTTTCATGCTTAGAGGAGAGAAAAGAGCACATTACAATCATTTATGAAACGTCTTCAGCACATATACTCCCCTTCCCTCCTAAGACTCCTCTATCAGAATGGCAAGAAAAGTGTGGGTAGATTGCTGTGACTAAGCCCCACAGATAATTCTGTTAGAGCCACTGCTTTTAAAGCATTTCATAAGAACTTGTCTTTAGAAAATCTCTCCTTCTAACAACAGGAAGCAGACTCATGTCCTCTTGGTTCATCTAAATGGGACTACTAGAGGGGTGACAGAATCGAAGCAGGTAAAGGAAAACAGCTGAACCCACATGACCGTGAAAGAACATTCCCAAATAAATTGTCCAAGTATCTATCACTGTAAGCTCGATAGTTTTATCTGCGTTTCCAATTTGCAAGGCTGTACAGCACAGTATTTTAGACGAGCAAGGAAGGAACTTCAGAATTCTTTTATATCAAAGTTGACTTATTCACATGATGAATGACACGGTCTTTTTAGGGACTAGAAAAATAAACCAACAAATGGGGAAGAAAATCATGCTAATAAATATTAGACCTGCATAACTGACAAAGGCCTCACTTTCTCAATTATATTATGCAGTGCAGAGTCTTCAGATTTTATTTTGATGGACTTGGCAGCAGCAAATCATCCGAGGGCCTGCCCAACACCATTCAGGGCAGTGAGTTGCAGAGCCTAGTTCTGGAAAGGTGGCTGTTCTTATTATTCACAAAGCGTGCCCAAAGTGTAGAAAGCATGAATTCAGATTCCAGCAGCAACAAACGACTGGAACAAAAAACAACAGTCATAGTGGGTGCTGAAGCACTTGGCCATCAGCTGCACAGGATGGAGCACCATCCAAAGGTCTACAATGAGTGAGCTACGAAGCGTCACTCGAAGAGGCCAATGGATGGAGCTGGGTTGGGGGGGGGGGCAAAGCTCCCTGAGCCTGGACAGAAGAGCTGTGTCATGATTAGCACACTCCCTGGGGAGAAAAGGGGGTGAGGGCATCGATACCCTTAGGCTTGTGCAGCAAGAAACTGCTAAAAATGAAGGATGTATATTGTATCATATTGGTATGTGCTGAAGACTCAAAATACTGTAAAGATCTTGCTACTCAAAGTGTGATCTGCGCGCCAGAGGCATCAGCCTTACCGGGAAAGTGGTTAGAAACAGAACCCCAGGCCCCATCCCTGACCTACAGAATCAGAATGTCCCGGTGATTCGCATGCACATTAGAGTTTGATAAGAGACGCGGTGGAATTTCTCATTACAGCAATACGAGACAATGACTGCTACAATCTCCATTCCACAAGGGAAAAAAATTAAGGCTCAGGTAAGTCTCTTGGCCACGGTCGCAGAACTCCGGATTGGCGAGGACTACCGAGGTTCTACCTAGAGCTGGGCCTGCGAGAGTCCCCGCAACCCCTGCCAGGAAGGGTTGAACAAGGTCTCGGTGGAGTAGGGAGGCAGAGGCCGAGGCCCAGGTCGGTCGTAAGCGTAGAGAGCGGCAGCCGTGACCTCCACCCCGACCGTTGCCACTCACCTGAGCCTGGCGAAGGCGGGCGCCACAACACCAAACCCCGGATTCCGCGGACGTAGGCGACACTCCTCCAACAACACTGGGCCTCACAGCCTCACTTCCGGCCAATGACCGCTACTTCCGCCTGCGGCGCGAGCGACGGGTGCTGCCGAGGCCCAAAATACGCTGTCAGCGTTTTCCAAGGACATTTTCCACCGGAGGACGTTGGTGAGGACGTAGGTGGGAGTCTAGGACCTGCGAAGGGAAAACATCTCCTTGGATGGATCGCTCTGGAATTAATGAATAGACTAGACACAGGTTCGAATCCCAGGCTTTATGGTCTTGGAGAAGTCACGTAAACGTGCTAAGCCTGTTCAGTGAGCATCACAATGCATGTATAAGAGATGTATCTGTAAAGTGCTCTCAGGAGAAGAGCTAGCGAAGTGCTGGATAGATGAGCATGTTAGGAGACATGGATGTCAGGAGCTGAAGCTTGAGAAGGCCAGAGCTATGGCAGATGAGCCAGGGTGATCCTTCTCCCAAGTAAAGGAACCTAGGCAAGGAAGAGACTCTACCAAGCCTTTACCATATCAGGGGCTTGGCCCCAGACTGCCATTCCTGTGGGCACTTGAGATTTGCTGATCAGGGTCTTCATACGTTGCCAATGCCTTGGGTACTTGTCCGTACCTCCTTAGGGCTGTGAAGACCTGAGAAATCATACTCCTGGGGCACAAATCAACGTAGGAGACAAAATCAATGTAGGAAAAACAGGTTCCTGCAAGAAGGGGCAAGCCTGGCATCCTAACTCCTGAACTCTGTAGAGGGCGCTGTTTGTGAACATTTGAGGCCCCAGATTACTGGCCACTTAGGGAGAGTTCTCTCACTCGGACCAGACCAGTACAAACACTGTCAGTTGCTAATTATGACTCTGTTCTTGCCCGTGGAACCCAGAGAGATCAGAGAGCCCATCTTCAAGATATGAAGCATGTTTGCTCCTAGGAGGCCACAGCAATCCTTTTCCTCTTTGGAATACTTAATTTCCCAGTCTCCCTTAAAGTGGGAGGAGCATGTGACTCAGTTCTGGCCAACAAGATTTCAAGGAAGGGTGCAGGCAGGGTTCTGGAAAAGCTTTTACTTTCATGATAAAGTGGTGTGGTCTCAATCCCTTCGCAGAGGTGTGGCAGCCTCCTTGTGGTAAGGAGGGAACAACAGGCTAAGGATGGGATAGTGGGAGGATGAAAATCTAGGTCCTCGGTGAACTGACACTTGACATGCATCTCCAGATCTCTTGGCAAGTAAGCAAAAATAAATCACTCTGAGGTCCTATTGTGTTCCTTAATACAGAATGCATTCTTGATCGTGGGCTTTGTGAGGATGACAGAAGGAATTGTCATAAAGGGCAGCTCTCTGCTGTGCAGCACACTTGGGTCCCTTTTGTCTCTGGGGCCTCACATTAATTGCAAACCTATTCTCAACCTTCATTTCCTTGCATTTGGCCCTCAAATATCTGCCAATCGTTGTAAGGTGGTTTAGGCGACTGCAGGGTGCATCTAACTGTCTTCCCCCACTTGTTTGCTGGCTAGCACCCTAGTGTCCAGATTCTGAGCTGGAACCACTTGAAACCTTGTTGACAACACTCTGAAGAGAAAGCACCACTGGGCAGAAACATGGAACCATGACTCCTAGGCAATGTGGGGGAGCTTGGGCTTTGGGCCAACCTCTTGGCACGGCCCAGTGAGCACCTCCAGTCTCATGTCTCCTCTGGGAAATGTTTACTCCAGCTTTGCCCTCCACCCCACCCCAGGCCTCACCTCCCATACCTGCAAAAACACAAGCAGTCCAGTGAATGCCACTTAAGAGGCTTTCTCCATTTTATTTCTTTGGGAAAGGAAAACAAAAAGTCTTTCCATCACATATGGTAGAGATATATATTTATATATATTTATATATAATTTCTTTTGTGGACATCCCAAAGCTGAGTCTCTTCATATTTTTTTCTAGTTTCCCTCCCCACCCCCCACTAATGCCTTCTTTTCTCCCTGCCCCTGTGGCCCAGGCCCAGGTTCTGGGGCAGGTACAAGGGGTGAGTGGAATGGGCAGTGGTTGCCAGGATGGCCTCCCACCCAGCTCAGAGACCTGGTGAGGACCACCTGGAAGGGGCTGTGCAGAAGGTTAGAGGCCACACAGAGGGACACTCCTGTTTTTGTGGGGGATGCACAGCTCATTAAACAGTCACCAGTCATGGGAGGAGGCTGGTCAGGGGCTGGGGGACTTGCTCACAGTAGTTGCCAGTTCTCTCCACCCTGCCCCCCAAAACTCAGTCTTGGGGGTAGGAAGAAGAGAATGAAAAAGAGAGAAATACAAGGGCTGAGGGCCAAGCCTCCTCCAATTTTTATTGCTGGTGAATTAGAAATTTGCTTTTCCCTTCCTGTACTGGGGAGATGAACTCTGAGAAGGCCCCGAGAGGAGAAACCGACATTGGCTGACCTAACCCCTACTGATGGCCATGGTAGGCCTACCCTGGACAAATGCTGGGCCACCTCAGGGTCTTGGGAACCATGGGGTCAGTGCTCCTTCCAGGTCAGCCTTGTTCTTCAAGGGCAATCACATCCAACCCTCCCCTTGTCCCCAAAACAAGGGCCTCCGGCTCAGACTTGGGCCAGTGGAGCTGGGAAGTGGGCAGTGCACCAAAGGTCAAGCAGAGTTTTCTACTGGAAGAAAAGGGGAGACTCTGGGGAAGACGCAGCCTGGGAAGATGATGTACTGAGCATGAAAGCAGGAGGCTGGGGGAATCAAGCACAGGAAGACTTCGCAGACACTCGTCCGACCTCAGAAACTGGGTGAGGGGAGTGCCTGAGAGGCATGTAGCACTTAATAGCTGTGGTTAGAGCCGGCCAGTGGCCCTGGGTGTGGGGTCGGCCAAGTAGTTGGGGCTTTTGCCCCATAGGATCCTGGCCAGAAGGGTGAAGGTAGAGCCGAGAAGCCTCCAAGCGACCCTTCCCAAGAACAGGAGGCAGATCTTCCCTGGGTGCTGAGCTTCCAGCCCCAGCCCTCCCCTCCCCCAACACACACACATGGGGACACACACTTAGGACCAAGCCAGGCTCTGAGGCCTGAGCCCAAGAGAACTTGGGGGGGAGGGGCTGGGCAGGTAGCCCTCTCAACCACAGGCAGGCCATCTGCTCCCACTTTTCCTGCCAATCTGCCCAGGGAGGGAGAACACTGCAGGGAGGAGAGAGGCCAGGAGCCCAGGGTCTGTCTGCTCCGGAAGACCCGGTGCAGGCCCCCTCAGGCTCCATGGCCTAGGAGGTGAGCACAGAGAGCATCACTGGACACAGGGTGGCCAACAGCAGCAGCCTAGACCCCCAGAGGAACTGGGGCCCCTCATGCACTGCAGGCCTGCTGCCTCTATCTCCAACAAGGGGAGGCCAAGAAAGGGAGCACGACACCCCGGCTAGGTCCTCATCTCCACTCACGCCGCCCTCCCCCATTCCCTCCTATCAGGAGGGCCTGAGTGGGCTGCCCACAGGTGCAGTGCTGGCGCTGGGAGTGGGGGTGGGGCAAGGAGCCTGGTCACAGCTGCTTAGAGAACCTCTTTGGTCTGGGGACATGGGGGACATGGGGGGAAGAGATGGAGGGGAGAGGACGCTGGGGACGGGCCTTGTGACAGGGCGTTTGTCAGAAGGCCCCGCGCCCAGGTCGAGGATCAGATCTCTGTGGACTCAATGCGCTCGAGTCGGGAGGGGGTCCAGGCCTTCTTCTCCTCGCCATGTTGGGGGGTGGGTGTGCTCG